GCCAGCTCAACCCATACTGCAGTATATCACAGTATACCACAGCATCATAGCATCCAGCACACACACAAAAACAGTTGCTGGAATAGTCGTGGCCATGCACACGATACTGTGACCATTTATGAGCATTAAATAATTTTAGGCAGATACAAAATGGGTTCTGCAGCATAGCATCTCACCCTTCCCCTTCTTCCCACAACCCTGCACTGAACAGTCTTGCTGTGGCAATTTCCAGTCTTGAAAGATTGAGCAGAACTAAGCTAGATTTTTAAACCTTCCTTCACACAACCAAAGTAAAAAACAAAGCCAGCACAGTGACAAGTGTCACAACATCTTTTCTGTTACTTAATCAACATTTTAAAATAAACTGCACATTTAAAGTTATTAGTCTCCTTATATAACTTCAGCATTAATCAGTACTAAACAATGACATCAGCCCTCTGATCACAATTGTATAAACAAGAGTATATTTCATTCCAATTAAAACAAATACTAAATCTTTGAACTGACGAGCAACACAGAGAGAAACCATAAAGTACATTTCCATACTTGAGCTGTTTACAGTCTTTGTGGCCATGTTTGCTATCAGGTTAGGTAGATGAAATCATTATACCTTGATGAGGAATTAAAGATTACTGGGATGACTTACTGATTGTATGTAACATATGATGGAACATGCATCCATTAGAGGTTACAGCACCTTCAATATTGAAAAAGAAAAAAATCTCTCCCCCCCCAGGGACCATCTATAAGAGTTGTAACAGAGTTTCACAAAGTCATAGCTAAAACAAAATCACAAGGACTGCCTCAGAACCAACATTATTCCACAAAGTCTCTGCAACAGATTTCAGTTCTCTTTACAAAAGTAATCACAGTGCAAACCACACAGTATACTTCCTTCTGGTATACGAAAACTAGAAAACAAAAAATGCATATATAAGACATCAAAAAAAACCCAAATCTCTGCCAGTGCTATCAGCTGAGTTCACAGAAATACATACCTGCCGTCCTGCTTAGTATTTAAAGTTCTCTCAGTAATTCACAAGGCCACTAACTTTGATCATCTAAATCCTTTTCTCGGAACTAATGGCCAATATACAGAAAACCTTAAATTGCTAACCTCTGCGTTCCTCCTGGAGAAACAGTGCTCTAAACTCTGCTCAGCTAAATTACAAAAACCCACCTACAGCCAGATTTGCTAATGAAAAGGGGGTGCTTTCTGAACAATAGGAGAATTCCTCTGCATTTAGAATGCAGAGTTCCCATTAGAACAAAGACTCACAAATGCCAGTTTTACCTCTGTTTTTTAATTGAGATTGTCCCAGTCCTCTTCTACAGTCCAGCGAGACAGTGTTTGTGAAATGATTAAAAAGAACGTGATCTGATCAAGAGGATGGAATAATGGGAAAGGAATGCTAGGTTAGCCACAGTGCTAAGTGCTGGGAAAGAAGACCAAGAGGCTTCTTAGCCTATTGTTTTTATTCCCATCTGCTTTTTAGCCAACTCATAGCACTTTGGATTCTTTATTTACTTTGGTAAAAATGGGTTAAAAGTTGCACACTTGCCTCTGAATTTGGTAACAAGTTAAAGAAATCTTTTGAAAAAAAAAAAAAAAGAAGAAAATAAATAAAAATCCTTGAATTATATCAAGTTTCCAAAAGGTCATCACTGTCTCTGCTGTGGCCTTTTCCCCATACCAAATCCTCTATCAATATGTCATAGTGAGTTAGGCAAAGACAAAAGAGAGGCTCAGTGTGAAAACTGCACATATATCTAATCCTGACAAAGCAATGAATAGGCCTTCACAAGTATAATTATACTTGTTTATTTGTTGCCACGTACAGAGGACTGATGAAAAAATCCATCAAAGTGGTATTATGCAGACACCAAGAGCTTCTTTTCTTTGGTTGCTAAAGCCACATTGAGGCTTAAATTCCTTATTGTTAAATTCAGAAGAAAGAAAAAAAAAAAAAAGATTTTGGTCAGACTTTTTTGCATCAATTGCTGACAGATCCTTTGTGTATAGCGCTGTATTATTAGACGCATTAGCTAGAAACTTGCTCACACTGCTTCTCATTTTAGCCCGTGCTGCAATCCATAATTATAAACTACTGTACACAGTACCTTTTAACAGGGTGTGGTAGGCACTTAGCTGACCACGACTTGAACAGATTTTAAATTGCCCATTTTCCCACAATCACTTGTTTGAAATATCCAAATACAGGTAAGCTACCTGTCCTATAATTACTACAGATTTTTTTTTTCCTGAACCTTACAGCTGCAAGGAAATAGAAGGTGGGTCGGTGTAACGCAGGGGTGTCTTTCATATCAGCCTGTTCAATGTAGAAGATATGTAGCAGTTTATCTTCATGTACAGAAAGCCATCTAGGCATCTCTCAGAAACTTGGGCCCAATGCAGCAGCGAAGAACAAACACACAGGCCCCTTGCTCCCCAAGTTCCCCAAGTGAACAAAAAACACTCTAAGAAACAATAACTTGAGAC